TCAAAATCAAGAATCTATTCGTAGATCATTCTAGAATGCGATTTCCTAATTTGGTATATTCCCAGACTGTAATAAAAATAAATTATGTGATAAATGGTACTTTCCTAACCACAAAGCCCCTAGCTGTTTCACAAAATTTTTTTCATCTCCTATAATTTTGACCAATTGAATTTTAAGATCAGGTATAATGTAAAAATTGAAATAGACCACTTTTTTACAAAAAAATAGGAATAGCTCGAAATTTTTACTAGAAAACTATCTTCTGCGGCCTAATTAAAAATGTTTCTCGTGAAATTCTACTAATAGCTGTTATATTTTTCTAACTATAACTCTAAATATAACGCGGTTTTCTTAGATTTAATTTTACGCGCAATTTTTACTTAGAAAACAAAACAAATTTGTTTTGACTATCACGTTACACCTGATCTTAAATTTTGATTGGTCAAAATTACAGGAGGTAGAAAAAATTTGGTGGGACAGCTACCTAAAATGCACAACCATACGGGTGCAACGTTTGAATTTAGCAAAATTTGAGTCAAATTTGGTCCATATCAAGGCCACGTAAAATTTTGGAAATAAAATTTTGCAAATATTTGCGTAAATCCTTTTGACAATAAATATTAAATATAAATATCTTTATTGGTCAAAAATCACCTTATATCAAGACGCGTAAATCCTTTTGACAATAAATATTAAATATAAATATCTTTATTGGTCAAAAATCACTTTATATCAAGACGCGTAAATCCTTTTGACAATAAATATTAAATATAAATATCTTTATTGGTCAATAATCAAAAATCACCTTATATCAAAACATGTAAAATTTCAGAAATAAAATTTTGCATAAATCTAAATACCAGTATAAATTTTTTTGTTATTGGTCAAAAATCACCTTTGATCATGTGTAGTATTAATTCAATCTGGGTGTATTATTCTTTCAGAAATTTTCGGTTGTTTACCAAAAAATTTACCTCAACCATGCTCGTAATTTATGTTTATTCATTTTCTACATCAGAATTTTTCAGAATTTATCAGTTATAAAACAAACATATTGGGCATATTACCTGGTTATTTTTTCATTAGAAGCCATTACAAAATCAGTATTTTATTGATTTGAGTAAAATTAATTTTTTACAGTCTAAAATTTCTACACTTACACTAATATTAAGTATATAATAAACTCTAAAAATATATATATCATTGTTATACCGCCACTAAAAAATTTTATAATTATTCTATATTATCGCTGATACTACGTATAAAATAATGCTTTGTTTATTATATATTTATTTTTATCGAAATATATTGAATAAAGCCTACCCTTACTTAATATTGATGATTTTTGTATTATTTAAACTTTCAAATCAACTGTATACTATTTTATACATCTCCTCCTAAATGTTTTTTGACTATTTGCCAGTGAATATGCTTATATTTCACCAGAGTTGTATCGATAATGGCTAAAACCCATGCGTTCATATGTTATTGATAATTAAAATTGGAGTAAAGGCTGGTTAGAGTTAGGATTGAGACCTGTCTTATGAGAAAAATTGTCTTCTCAATATTTTTTATTAGTACCGCAAGACAATTCTTATAAGATTGCCAGGTATAATGTCAAACATCAAAAACAAGGATTTATCTACATAAAGTGTAAAATTTATAATTTTTAGATATACAAGTATAGAAAATAAAATGTTTTGTTAAAAAATAGCAATAGAACAATAGAAAGTCATAATATGTAATTTTAAGAATAACTTACCTATACACTTAAATTAATTCTTAATACATACTGTTTAATATGACTTCAGATTTCTTGTTCACCAATAAATCTTTGTTTTTTGTAATCATTATATAAATTTGCTGGTACAACAAAAAATAAGCTGATATAACCTTCTTTTAATAACTTGTTGCGAAGTTTAGTTATACCGATTGTTTTTATAGGATGTTCCCAAGCAGTTGTCATTTAAAAAAGCTTATCAGGCGCAATAATTGTATCAATTGAGGGAAAGTTTTTATTATTTGATTGAAAATATTTAGCATTGCTAATTGTATTGATGGAAGAAAAAACGTGTATTTCATTCTGCTGATTCAATTTTAATGTATTTGATTTATTTGAATCTAAGGATCGAATTTTGAATTCTCCTCCTTCTCATAATATTCGATATGCAATTTGCTTAAAGAAGTTTCCCATAAATTGATTGCTTTTACCGTCTAACAAAGATAACCTCATTTCATTCTTTAATCTTTCTCGAATTACGTTTTCAAGCCTTAAGGTCACTTTATAACCTACATATTCTGATGCAAATTTTAAAGTTTTTTTTGTATATGGATTTTTCTAATCTATATCATTTTCTTCTGGGAGATTCGTAGAGATATGAATAAGCTTATGGCTTATATCATCATCGTTTTCATTTTCTCTAATATAATGAAAATCTTTTTATCACACCTTACTATAGCATTCTGGAGCTTATCTTGTTGAGCTTGATCATTGGCTTTTTCCAAAACAAATCTAGGGATTCCTCCCATTTGAAAAACAGTTCATTGACTTTTTTGCTTTCGAGATTCGGATATAGAATTTTTTTACATTCTATGATCTCGTGCGAAGTCCACACTGGCATATAACGTATAGTTGCACCATAAAATTTATCAAAATTTTTATAGTGGTTTTTGCGAGGAGAACATATGACAATCGTTTTTGTATTAATTTCTTTTGGTTCATTTGCATCAGCAATATACCAAATGTTTGAATCATTGCAATATGTAATAAGATTAAATTTATTAACAATGTAGAAGGCTTCTTTATTGTTAAAAAGAATCGGATACAGTTGGTGACAACTATCGAACACAACAGTCTTGTCCTCCTGGGCGAGTAGATATAAAAGATAGTACCTAGGGGTTAGTAAAATTACGGGGGGAACAACTTATAATAAATATATGCCAATAAAAATGTCATGCATAACCTTGCATAATTCTGTGTAACGATCAAGTAGATTTATAATAAAAATATTCGCACTACTATACCAACGAGCCTTCAACAATATTAACCGATTGCTGATTCGAGACATGTCATTGCCATATTCTATTGGCATCATTTGGTAGGTTTATATAGAGATTGTGTGCACTTTCGTATTCGCAGGGACTAAATTTTGCCTTCTAAAAATAATTGAAATCGTTAAGTCTTAAATTCTAATATTATTTA